AAACTCCGTGACGAACAAAAACGAACTTTGGCTAGTCACTTGAACAATGTCTGAAGCTGCCGAAAGGAATATTGTTTTGCTGGACTATTTGCATTGCGTATGTAATTTTGTGTTATCTGTTGCAGTAAAAGCTCTTGGCAGATGGTGATTATATTGCTGCCAAGTTTGAGATAACGACCTGTGTGCGTGCCAAGTACTTTCTTTACCCTCAGCTGGCTGTGTTTGTGTGTGTGTGTGGACGGGGACAGATCAGGTTGATTGCTCTCACTGTCAGAAAATTTCTCCTTATTTCAAGGTTGAATCTCTCCTTGTTCAGTTTCCATCCATTACTCCTTGTCAGCCTTCAGGTGCTTTGGAAAATAGCTTGACCTTCTCTGTGGCAGCCCCTCAAATATTGGAAGATGCTATCATGTCTCCCCTGGTCCTTCTCTTCACTAGACTAGCCGTGCAATCAGTTCCTGCAACCGTTCATCATATGTTTTAGCTTCCAGTCCCCTAATCATCCTGGTTGCTCTTCTCTGCACTCTTTCTAGAGTCTCAACATCTTTTTTATAGTTTGGTGACCAAAACTGGATGCAGGATTCTAGGTGTGCTCTTACCAAGCATCATAAAGCGGTAATATCACTTCTTGTGGATCTTGATTCTATCCCTCTGTTAACGCAGCCTTGGATTGTGTTGGCTTTTTTTTGGCAGCGCCCGTCACTGCTCGTATGGAGTGGGGTTTGCCCTCATTGTATGCCCCAGAGGTTTGCCCCGCCAGCATTGATGGGCCATGTGATCTCAACACTGGCAGAATCCATCTTACAGCGCCCATTGAAACCCCCCTCTTTTTACATACTGGAGCAACACGATTTTCTCTCATTGAGCGAAGGGGAGAGGAAATGGGCAGCCAGTCAGGAATTGAATTTATGTCCTCCCCTCACCCCACAAATGCAGCCCCAGGAGGGGCGAGGCAGTGTGCATTAGCGCTGCAGCATGGCTTGGCGATAGCTTCTTAGCCTGTGTCTTTTGAAAGACAGAGAGTTACAGTTCATTACAGTTATCTGCAATGAACCGTGATAAAATCCCAACCTACTAATGCTCGGAAATTCAGCGAAACCTTATGTTTTTCATGCAAAAGATGTCATGTTCGGTTGCTCTCACCGCCTGCAGGAAAGGACAAGACGAAACGCAAAAAAAAAATAAAATAAAAAATGCCACTATGGGCTTTAATTGTGATTTAGTGAATAAGCCGCAAGGGACTAGCTTCAGCCAACATGCTAATGCATGCACCACGGTTTATAGCTTGCAAATCCTGGATTCAGCAACGCAGGAAGCCAAAACGAAGCACAGGTTCGTGCTTACAGGTTAAAGTGTTGGCTTGACCAAGATTTCACGTTGTGGGACCTGTTGGTGAATGATTTGCTGCGGCTGAATTTTAGGACTTGAGAGCACAGATGCGGAGAGGGTAGAGGAATGCAGCAGGCAGGGGTGGACGTCCGGTTGTGACATGGAGGAGAAAGTGTGCTATTGAGCCCCAAGGATGGGTTTGTGATGCTCTTAGATTGGGAAAGTGTTCCTCAGCCGTTCCATTCTGTCTTTGTGGGTGTTTGTTCCATCCCTGGAGGATTTTAAGAAGAGATTGGACAACCGTTTGTCTGAAATGGTATAGGGATTCTTGTTTTGAGCAAGAGGGATTGGACAAGAAAGACCCTTCCAACACTGTTATTCTGCTGATGGGTTGGGTTGTGAAAGAGGGAGAGGGAGAGAGAGAGAGAGGAAAAAAAAGAGAAAGAAAGAGAGAGAGAGAGAATGAGAAAGAGAGAAAGAGAGAGAGAGAATGAGAAAGAGAGAGACAGATAGAGAATGAGAGAGAGAATAAGAAAGAGAGAGAGAAAGAGAGAGAGAATGAGAAAGAGACAGAGAGAGAATAAGAAAGAGAGAGAGAGAGAGAGAAATAGAGAGAATGACAATGAGAGAAAGAGAGAGACAGAGACGCACAGAGAGAATCAGAAAGAGAGAGAGAATGAGAGAGAGAGAGAGAAATAGAATGAGAAAGAGAAAGAGAAAGAGAGAGACAGAGACAGAAACACACAGAGAGAGAATGAGAGAGAAAGAGAAAGAGAGAGAGAGAATGAGAAAGAGACAGAGAGAATAAGAAAGAGAGAGAGAAAGAGAGAGAGAGACAGAAATAGAGAGAATGAGAACGAGAGAAAGAGAGAGAGACAGAGACGCACAGAGAGAGAAAGAGAGAAAAAGAAAGAGAGAAAGAGAAAGAGAAAGAGAGAGAGAGAAAGAGAGAGAGAGACAGAGAGAGAGAGAAAGAGAGATAGTTAGAAAGAGTAAGAGAGAGACAGAGAGAGAGGAAGAAAGAGAAAGTGAGAGAGAGGGAAAGAGAGAGAGAAAGAGAGAGACAGTGAGAGAGAGAGGGGGAAAGAGAGAGAGAATGAGAGAGAGAGAGAGGGAGAGAGAAAGTGCCTTCTTTTCCAGAGCTTTGTACAGATAGTCCTTGACTTACAACAATTTGGTTAGTGACTCTGAAGTTACAACTGCACTAAAAAAAATGACTTATGGCCATTTTTCACACTTGGGACTGTTGCAGCCTCCCCACGATCACGCGATCAAAATTTGGACAACCGTCCTGTACTTATGACGGTTACAGTGTCCCCCGGTTGCTGCAATCTCCTGTTTTTGCACCCTATCTGACCAGCAAAGTCGATGGGGAAGCTAGATCCACTGGCGAACAGCCGCAGTGAGTCACTTCAGTGTTGCGGCAGGACAAGTCGTAAAATGGGGCAAAACTCACTCCACGATTGCCTTGTTTAGCCAAGGACATTTGGGGCTCCCCTGATGCGGTCATACGCCGAGGACTCCCCGTACCTCCAACCTTTGGCTCAGGCGATTCTAGTTTTTCTAACCATGTTTTTAGCATTGGGAGAAATGCTAAGGAAGTAACGGGTGCCGCTCGGAAGGGATGCAGGAGCAGCTGCTCCAAGTGTCAAGCAGGTTTGATCCAGAACAGTGCGGAAAGCTCCTTCGGGGGGGGGGGGGGGGCCATGCGGCCACCCTTCCTTCTGCCCTGGGTTGAACCCTGGGGGGGGCGGGTCTGGGGGGGACACACAACAAGAGGCCGAAGCAGGCAGATTCCCTGCTCTCCGGCAAGCAAGCGAGCCTTGTAGCCTGGCAGGCATCTCCCCCCTCACTCTTTTCCATCTCTTTGGGAGGGTCTCGGAAGAAGCCGGGGTGCCTGCGGGGGAAATGGGGTGGGTGGGTGGGAAACGGCAGGTCTCTTTTGCCCTGAGAAGAAGCAGAAATCTCTCTCTCTCTCTCTCTCTCGCATTAACTTATCTGTTTGCTGTTAAGTAGGATTTCAAAAGGATGTGATTGCTGAAAAGGAGAATGTAAAGCCTTAAAGGAATGGTGGGGAGGGGGGGCAGGAGAATACGTGAAGCTAATCTGGACCTGACCAATTTTGCTGGATAAGAGAAGTGTACCAGCACTTACTTCCTCTCCCCCTCTCCTCTCCTCTCCTCTCCTTTCCTCTCCTTTCCTCTCCTTTCTTTTCCTTTCCTTTCCTTTCCTTTCCTTTCCTCTCCTCTCCTCTCCTCTCCTCTCCTCTCCTCTCCTCTCCTTTCCTCTCCTCTCCTCTCCTTTCCTTTCCTTTCCTTTCCTTTCCTTTCCTCTCCTCTCCTCTCCTCTCCTCTCGTTTCCTCTCCTCTCTCCCTCCCCCTTCTTCATTCCTGGACTAGATGACTACAAACCAGGGTCTTCTGGACTTCCCAATACCCTGCTCAAAGATAGTAGGACTCAGAGCATTGATGCCATTACCTTGCCTTATTACTCTTCCCTGCACCTGCCCTGGCATACAAGCTATCGGGTCATATTTTTTCCAGTTATAACCCCAATATCACCAAGATAATGCTGTGTTGATTTTTCCCCTTTCCCTTTTTCCCAACCTGAATTATCCTTCTCTTTCTATTCCTCCTCCTCCTCCTCCTCCTCCTCCTCCTCCTCCTCCTCCTCCTCCTTTTTCCTTCTCCTTCCTCCTCCTTCTCCTTCCTCCTCCTCCTCCTCTTCTTCTCCTCCTCCTCTTTCTATTTTTTTTTTTTAATTTGATTTATATGCCGCCCTTCTCCGAAGACTCAGGGCGGCTTACAATGCGTTAAGCAATAGCCTTCATCCTTTTGTATATTTATACAAAGTCAGCTTATTGCCCCCACAAACTGGGTCCTCATTTCACCTACCTTAGAAAGGATGGAAGGCTGAGTCAACCTTGAGCCTTGGCAAGATTCGAACCCTGCAGTAATTGCAGGCAGCTGGTCTTAAGCAGCTTAATAACAGGGTGCCTTAAACCCTAGTACTACCAAGGCTCTTGGTATTTCTCCTCCTCTTCCTCTTCTTCCTCTTCCTCCCCTCCTCCGCTTCCTCCTCCTTCTCCTTCCTCTTCTTCCTCCTCTTCTTCTTCTTCTTCCTCTTCCTCCTTCTCCTCCCCCCTCCTCCTTCTCCTTCCCCCTCCCCCTCTTCTTCCTCCTCCTCCTCCTATTCCTCCTCCTCCTCCTTCCTCTTCCTCTTCCTCTTCCTCCTTCTCCTCCTTTTCTCCTCCTCCTCCTTCCTCTTCTTCCTCCTCCTCCTCTTCTTCTCCTCCTCCTTCTATTCCTCTTCCTCCTTCCTCTTCCTCTTCCTCTTCCCCTCCTCCTCTTCCTCATCCTTCTCTTTCCACCTCCTTCTCCTTCCTCTTCTTCCTCCTTCTCCTTCCTCTTCTTCCTCCTCCTCTTCCTCCTCTTCCTTCTTCCTCCTCCTCCTTCCTCTTCCTTCTTCCTTTGCCTGCTCCCTGCTCCCTTCTCTCTTCTTTCTTCCTCTCCCCCTTCTTCCTTCCTTCCTTCCTTCCTTCCTTCCTTCCTTCCTTCCTTCCTTCGCTGTGCAGATTATCTAACTTATGAAATCTCGTTGCAAACTTTTTTTCCCTTTTTTTGGGGTGAGTCACCATTTTTTTGGAGGAGTAGAAAGAAAGGGGCTGCCTTCCCACCATCTCCAGCTGGTGTCCTATGACTAACGGGGGATAAGTCTCTAAGAAAGAAGGAAGACCGTGTAAGCCTGAAGGACAGCAGCTCCTTTTTTTTTTTTACATCTGCTCACCCACACCCTCTTGCACCCTCCTCTGTCACGCTGCTGCAGCCTTTCGACTCGTGTTTTTTCTCTGCCGCTGATCTTCTTTATTATCCTGCTTGAGTCACATTCCTCCACCTCCAGTCCGGGATGAGTTGGCCGCCTCCTCTTTATGCAACGGCAACTTCCAAAAGGTGAAGGCATCTCTTGAAGGAGCTCCGGTCCAGAAATCTGAGAAGGAGGAGGTCAAGAAGGAATTACCTGGACATTTCCCAGATGATAAAAGGCCAATTTTTTCACCCTGGGAGATCCTGGTTCAAGAAATCGTCTTGCCTCTGGGAGGCTTAATAAGAGGCGGCAACAAATGTCTCGATAGTAGATATGGGTGGAACCCGGAGTTGGCTACTGGGGGTTCGCAGGGTCTTCGGGAGAACCTCTAGCTAAGATTCTGTGCGGTTTGGAGAACCCCCAAAACCCACTCCTGGATGGCCCCAAGCACCCCTCCCCTCCCCTCCCCTCCCCTCCCCTCCAAGGAGTCCTCATGTGTCCCGTTTTGGATGCAGATAAGTGCAGGGTACGTGCGAAGTCTCGGGGAGGGTGAAAAACAGGCCTACCGGAGGTTCAGGGAAAAAGAATGGGCCTCCGGAGCCTGGGGAGGCCATTTTCACCCTCCCGGAGGATCAAGGAAAGCCTCTGGAGCCTGGGGAGGGCAAAAACACCCCCACCCCCACCATGGTGCAGGAGGCTGACTAGGCCATGCCCGCCAAGGCCATGCCCACCCAGCAACCGGGCAAAGAACCCCTCGCTAAAATTTTTGAAGCCCACCCCTGAGTGGAACATGGACTTCCTAGAAATATCATCCCGGAGATGACATCTCGGTTGGCCAAGCTGTGGTTGGAGCATCCTACGATCCCTTGTAAGTGTCAACTAGGAGGCCCTGAGCTCTGAGGGCTAGAATTTGGTGAATTGATCCTCCAATTAATTTGAGTGAAGGAATGCATCAAATTTTTGGCACATAGCGGCTAAGTTCCCTCAACTTCAATAAAAGCAAGCCAACTGCGCGACATGACCATCTGCTGCATACAACTTGGCCGAATTGTGCTCTCCTTGGTTTGGGCTTCAACATGGCGGTTTGCAAAGTATGGTTTGTGGTATAGCGTGATGTGTAAACATCAATTGTCCTGGGAACAGCATTCCTGATAATTTTATTTATTTATTTATTTATTTATTTATTTATTTATTTATTTATTTATCTATCTATCTATCTATCTATCTATCTATCTATCTATCTATCTATCTATCTATCTATCTATCTATCTATCTATCTATTTATTGGTTCGATGTATATGCCGCCCTTCTCCGGAGACTCAGGGCGGCTTACAATGCATTAAGCAATAGCCTTCATACTTTTGTATATACCTGCTTAGTAGGGCTTTTGGGCCCCCCCAAGTGGTGTTCTTTTTTATACAAAGTCAGCTTATTGCCCCCACAATCCGGGTCCTCATTTTACCTACCTCAGAAGGATGGAAGGCTGAGTCAACCTTTTTTTTTTTTTAATTTGATTTATATGCCGCCCTTCTCTGGAGACTCAGGGTGGCTTACAATGCATTAAGCAATAGCCTTCATACTTTTGTATGTACCTGCTTAGTAGGGCTTTTGGGCCCCCCCTAAGCAGTGTTCTTTTTTTATACAAAGTCAGCTTATTGCCCCCAAAATCTGGGTCCTCATTTTACCTACCTCAGAAGGATGGAAGGCTGAGTCAACCTTGAGCCTGGTGAGATTTGAACTTGCAGTAATTGCAGGCAGCTGGCAGCTAAGTGCTATTCAACAGCGCTTTAGTCCACTGCTCCACCAAGGATAATCACATGGAAGAGAAGATAAATTGGTTTATGGCTGATTGATAATGAAGTATCACAGAACTAAGCAGCCCTGATTTCGAGACCAGAGTGCAAGAAACAATTCACTACTGGAAGTAGCATGTTTGCGAGGGTTCCTCTGTCCCACCTCTTCCCAAGCAGGAAGTCCATTAGCCATGATATGATGGTCTAGTTAGGATTGTTTACCAAAAAACAACAACAGCCACCCTTGTCAATCAAAACCAGAGCAAGAACATTTTGGCTTTTTCAGTTGGCCATAAGTCAATGAGCAAGTGATATACCCACCTACCCACCCATCTTTCCTGGTGTATAAAGCTCTGAGGACTGATATTAACAGAGAATGTCCAAAAATAGGATCCTAAACATCAGGGGGGAAAATGGGTAGTAGGATGTGGTTAAAAAAAAAAAAGTCAAGATGGCAAAGGACATTATAAAAATCACACCATACTGGCCGCCATTTTGATTCTCGACCATACCTTGTAGATACTCCTGATGGGAAGGCTTAAAAGATGAGAGAGAGGGGGGGAGAGAGGGAGGGAGACAGAGAGAGGGGGAGGGAGAGAAAGTGTGTGCGAGAGAGGAGAGAGAGAGGGAGAGAAGGGAAGGGAGAGTGGGGAAGAGGAAGGGAGAGAGAGAAGGAAAGAGAGGGGGAAAGAGAGAGGGAGGGAGAGAGAGAGGAGAGGGGGAGAGAGAGAAGGAAAGAGAGAGGGGGAAAGAGAGAGAAGGAAAGAGGGAATGAGAGGGAATGAGAGAAAGGGGAGAGGGGGAGAGAGAGAGAAGGAAAGAGAGGGGGGAAGAGAGAGAGGGAGAGAGAGAGAGGGGAGAGGGGGAAAGAGAGAAGGAAAGAGAGAGGGGGAAAGAGGGAGAGAGAGAGAAGGAAAGAGGGAATGAGAGGGAGAGGGAGAGGGAGGGAGAGAGGAGAGGGGAGAGAGAGAAGGAAAGAGGGGGAGAGGGGGAGGGAGAGAGAGAAGGAAAGAGGGGGAAAGAGAGGGGGAGAGGGAGAGAGGGAGGAGAGAGGGAGAGAGAAAAGGAAAGAGACGGGGAGAGAAAGGAGAGAGAAAAGGAAAGAGAGAGGGAGAGAGGAAGAGAGAGAGGAGAGGGGGGAGAGAGAAGGAAACAGAGAGAGGGAGAGAGGAAGAGAGAGAGGAGAGAGGGAAAGGAAAGAGAGAGGGAGAGAGGAAGAGAGAGAGGAGAGGGGGAGGGAGAGAGAGAAGGAAACAGAGAGAGGGAGAGAGAGGAGAGAGGAAGGGGGAGAGAGAGAGAGAAGGAGAGAGAGACAGAGTGTGTGTGTGTGTGTGTGTGTGTGTGAGAGAGAGAGAGAGAGAGAGAGAATATAACATGAAAAAAAACGGAAAGATGGAAAAGGTGAAATAGAATGCTGCAGTTGCCTTTCAGGGAAAGAAGATAAAAATTTAGAAATCTTGGCCAGTTTTCAAGAGAACCCCTTTGTAAGAGAATCGAGGTCAGCCATTGAATCCATGGAAACAAGGGGTTCTGCCAGATTCTGGTGGGGCTCAGGATTAAAGGGCAGGGGACTCTTAATCTTTAAAGTTTACATTTTGAATGTTTCCAAGTTTGAAAATCACGGGCATAAAAGAAAATAAAGCTGATCCCGGGGGGAAAAGCGAAGGAAGGAGCAGGTCATTGGTGATAAAAGTGGTGACGGGGCTTGTGGGAAAAATTACCTGATCCCAAGGAAGGGAAAGAGTGAGAAAGAAACTCAAAGGAAGTCCCTCTTGATTTTGTTCGGCATAGGACCGACAGGAACTTCCGCAGGCTTTTGAGATACTCTTCTTCTACTTTACTCCAGTAAAAAGCATTCCTGCCATCTTTTCTGTGTCTATTTGGTCTACTCAACTTGGTCTACTCAAAGAGCTGACACAACAGGGAGGAAATGCTTTCCATGTTTCCCTACCATAGACTTTGATTGTTGTATTTGCTTGGATCTCAGTTAACACATAAATAGAATAACAGAGTTGGAAGGGACCTTGGAGGTCTTCTAGTCCATCCCCCTGCTTAGGCAGGAAACCCTACACCACTTCAGACAAATGGTTATCCAACCTCTTCTTAAAAACTTCCAGTGTTGGAGCATTCACAACTTCTGGAGGCAAGGCGTTCCACTGATTAATTGTTCTCACTGTCAGGATGTCGGAAGTTAGCACCCACCCCTCTCCTAGAAAAATGAAATATTCTAGGAAATATTTAAAAAGGCAGAATATTTCCCCTAAACGAGAAATAGAAATCTTAAAACAGAAACTCAGCCCCAGCTCCCTGCCCCCAGCAGATACTTTGGTTATTTACCAGACAAAAGGCTGGACCAGCTTATCTACAACACAAAAGACATGGACCTCGGGGGCATGATAGGATTAGCCCTCACTCAAGATTCAAACCAGGACAAAGCCAATTTTTTTTAAAAAAAAATTTGATTTATATGCCGCCCTTCTCCGGAGACTCAGGGCAGCTTACAATGCGTTAAGCAATAGCCTTCATACTTTTGCATATTTATACAAAGTCAGCTTATTGCCCCCACAAACTGGGTCCTCAATTTACCTACCTTAGAAAGGATGGAAGGCTGAGTCAACCTTGAGCCTTGGAGAGATTCAAACCAGCAGAAATTGCAGGCAGTTGTGTTAATAACAGGGTGCGTAGACCACTGTACTATCAAGGCTCTTATTAAGCCATAATAAGAATTGCCCAGAGCCCCTTCACTACATCATCACCCAGCAAGATTCAACCAGGCCTGGGACACTGCCTACAAAGTTAGCTAAGATCCCTGTCCCCTCGGAATCTGACAGCCAATGGGATGCATTTCTTGTACAGGAAACTCTAAGGCAGGGCCTAAGAAAGTGTATAAATATATCCCTCTCGCCACTCCATGTGCTCTTTTTTGACCAGGACCCAAAAACCCCATGTGGTCCAGTCCACCATTAAACAATCTTTCCAAGCAGTCTTTATGTTTCTAGTGTCTTTCTTCCCACTTGGAACTGAACCCAGATGGATAGTTCTTCCAACAAGGAAGTTTCTCCTTAATTCCAGGTTGCTTCTCTCCTTGATGAGTTTCCATCCATTGCTTCTTGTCCTGCCCTCAGGAGTTTTGGAGAATAGCTTGATTACCTCTTCTTTGGGGCAGCCCCTGAGATATTGGAACACTGCTATCGAGTCACCCCTAGTCTTTCTTTTCATTATAGTAGACCAGGGGGTGGGTTCTACTTACCTTTACTACTGTTGTGGCTTGTCAGTGGCCTGTGCAGCTAGTAGCTGATTCCGACAGCAAGGAGGCTGGTGTGGTGCCACTCCACTCCAGGGGAAGGATACTGCAAAATCCCCATTCCCTCCCCACCCCACTGGAGACCTGCTTTCCAGCTCCATTCTCCTGTGCAGGGCAACAAAAGAAGACCCAGCCAATCAGCTGGGACTCGATCAGCTGGGACTCGGGAGGCAGCAAATAGATCGAGGGCAGGGCCAGCCAGAGGTGGTATTTGCCGGTTCTCTGAACTACTCAAAATTTCGGCTACCGGTTCTCCAGAACCGGTCAGAACCAGCTGAATACCACCTCTGTTCCAGTCCCTTAATTATTACCATTTGCTTATAGGCTTGGTTGCTTGTTGTTGTTGTTGTTGTTGTTGTTAGTTGCGAAGTCGTGTCCGACCCATCGCAACCCCAAGGACAATGTTCCTCCAGGGCTTCCTGTCCTCTACCATCTCCTGGAGTCCATTTAAGCTCACTCCTATTGCTTCAGTGACTCCATCCAGCCACCTCGTTCTCTGCCGTCCCCTTCTTCTTTTGTCCTCAATCATTCCCAGCATTAGGCTCTTCTCCAGTGAGTCTTTCCTTCTCATTAGGTGGCCAAAGTATTTGAGTTTCATCCTCAGGATCTGGCCTTCTAAAAAGCAGTCAGGGTTGATCTCCTGTAGGACTGACTTGTTTGTTCGCCTTGCAGTCCAAAGGACTCGCAGGAGTCTTCTCCAGCACCAGAGTTCAAAGGCCTCCATTCTTTGGCACTTAGTTTGGTTGCTTAGTTGCGGATTAATTTTATGGGATGGAATTTTTTTAAAAATACTCATCTATTTTTCCCCATAAAGATCAGTCAGCCAGCTGTTTAGACTGGATTTGGCATTTTTGATCCACCTATCGAATCTTCTCTAGGACTTGAGATAGGCAGAGGCTGCGTTTTGATGGTGTTAAAAGTCCCATCTCAGGATGTAAGCCCTTCCATGCAAAGCTGCCTTTTGCAATTGACCGATTGGGATTTTGTCAATGACGATAGTGCTTTTTTGAGTGGTGCTCTGGTTGTTTGGGGGATTGCACCCAAGGCACTGATTCCTTTTGGTACTATCTTTGCTTTTTTTGGGGGGTGTGTGTGTGCCACAGTTGTTCTATTAATGTTGCTGTTCTTTTCCAGGTTGCATGAATGCTGCTATTGACTTGCTAGAAGGCAGAATCTGGAGGTGGATCATGTCACAATCTTTGCCTGAGAATAGCAAACATTCATGGGTTGGAATCGAAGCGTTAAGCAAAGGAAACAATTGAAACAAACAAACAAACCATTTGTCCCTGCGCTACTTTAGATCTCCCCACACAACCCACTCTTATTCAAGCAACCAACCTATTTATTTTTAATCCCCTGAAAGCCGCCTTCTTCTTCTTTTTCTTCACTTATTCATCTTCACCTTCCTACGTATCTCCCTACCTTTCTTCTGATGGGGGAAGATTATTGCATGACTTGTAATTTCTATAAAGGGATCACCCCCCAAAAATGTCAAGTGATGTTAAACGCACTTTAGAATCCATTCCACTTTCTGTCGTCTGTACTTCTCTATCTATTTCACTTGCTAAGAATCCCGGCGTTATTAACTGCCATCGATTGGCTGGGAGTAAGCTGTATTTTCTCCTGCAAATAGAGATTCAGGACAGGAGCATTCCTGAGGGAGGACACCCTCCCTTCCTAAGGATCTCTTAATAGATCCCATTTTGTTCAATCTTTCATTGATGGCGAGGAGTAGAGAGGAAAGGAGGCATTGCAGCCCTCTCTTATGGGAAGAAGGGAAATGAAAGTCACTGCACGAACCGGTCCCTGTGACAGCACCAGTGACTAGTTGACTGGGTCAAGTTTCAAGAAATGTGGGCATTTGGAGATGGCATTCCCTAAATCCTGATCCTTTTCTGCTTATCCAGGGAGGGCAGAATCATGGCATCAATGCTCTGAGTCCCACTATCTTCAGGCAGGGTATTAAGCAGCCCAGAAGATCCTGGTTTTTGGGTTGTGGTCATCTAGTCAGGGAATGAGGGAGGGGAAGGGAGAGGGGAAGGGGAAGAGAGTTGAGGAGAGGAGGGAAGGAAGGAAGGAAGGAGGGAGGGAGGGAGGGAGGGCGGAAGGAAGGAAGGAAGGAGCGATGAGAGAAGGAAGGAAGAGAGGAGGGGAGGAAGGAAGGGAGGAGCGATGAGAGAAGGGAGGAAGGGAGGGAAGGAAGGATGGAAAGGATGGAAAGGAAGGAAGGAAGGGGGAAGGAAGGAAGGAGCAATGAGAGAAGGAAGGAAGGAGGGAGGAAGGGAGGGAGGGAGGAAGGAAGGAAGGAGCAATGAGAAAAGGAAGGGAGGAAGGAAGGGAAGGAAGGACGTAAGGGAAGAAAGGGAGGGAGGGAGGGAGGAAGGGAGGGAGGAGCAATGAGAGAAGGGAGGGAGGGAGGGAGAGAGGAAGGAAAGGAAGGAAGGAAGGAAGGAAGGAAGGAAGGAAGGAAGGAAGGAAGGAGCAATGAGAGAAGGAAGGGAGGAAGGAAGGGAAGGAAGGACGTAAGGGAAGAAAGGAAGGGAGGGAGGGAGGAAGGAGCAATGAGAGAAGGGAGGGAGGGAGGGAGGAAGGAAGGAAGGAAAGAAGGAAGGAAGGAAGGAAGGAAGGAAGGAAGGAAGGAAGGAAGGAATGAGAGAAGGAAGGGAGGAAGGAAGGGAAGGAAGGACGTAAGGGAAGAAAGGAAGGGAGGGAGGGAGGAAGGAGCAATGAGAGAAGGGAGGGAGAGGGAGGGAGGAAGGAAGGAAGGAAAGAAGGAAGGAGGAAGGAAGGAAGGAAGGAAGGAAGGAAGGAAGGAAGGAAGGAAGGAGAGATGCTGAATTGACACATTACCTCACATCATAATGTGAGCAGCAGGCCAGAAATAAACAAAGCATACATTCAAAGGTCAAAAGACTACT